GTCGGACTTTGATGATTTTCCTGGCTTTAAGGTGTTGCAAGTCTCAATTTTGGCTCAAGTTGTGTTTAGCAGGCGTTGGATCAAGTTTCATTGCATTTGAAGTTGATTTGAAGAAGTTAGAGTCCGGCAATCGGCGCTTGAGAGGCATTCGGGAAGGATTTGAAGGCATTCGAGAAAGATTTGGAAGATTTGGAGGCCACCGGGAGATTCGTGACGAAATTCTGGTAAAGAAAGAGCATTTGGATCGACCTCGTAGGCATCCGGAAGCATTCGGAGCAAGAAAACGAAGGAAAAGTGAAGAATAGGGTCAGGCACGCCGTGCCTGGCAGCTAGGCACGCCGTGCCTGAAGCGTAAATTTTCCTGGGAGCTACTGGAGGCCAGGCACGCCGTGCCTGGCATCTAGGCACGCCGTGCCTGGCATATTTCGAGGAAATTGGCTACTGGAAGCCAGGCACGGTCGTGCCTGGCAGTTAGGCACGCCGTGCCTGGACGCGAAATACGGATTTCTTCCGTAGGCACGGTCGCAGGCACGGTCGTGCCTGGCACCGTGCCTGGGCGCGATTTGTCCTAATTCGACCCGAATTCGTTGTTTTCTATAAATAAGGCCTCCATAACCCCGTTTTGGGGGTTACGAACATTACGGAGAGGCCTAGGGACGAATTTAACACCGTTTTTACGCTATTTTCTTCCAAGACCCTGGGATTATTTGTAAGTTCATCTTTTTAATTAATGACAATTATTTCTATTCATCCCAATTCTGTTGATTCTTCAATTATGAATTGTGAGTAGTTTAATTAGGGATTTGGGGTTGATGAAGGGGTTAATCATGATTGATGGCTGGATTCTTGTCGGTTTAATTGCATGAATGCCGTTTAATTTGTGTTTGAATAATTTAATTGATATCTCTTGTAACCTAGACTGCAGCTAGAATTACAATTGCATGTAGAATGAATTAAGAGAGATCTAATTTGTTCTAGGACACATTCACACACACTTAATCGTTCGCTAAGAGATTAGTAACGATTAAGGGGCCGTAAGCTCGCTCGTCTTGGCAATAATTTAGGATCCTGTCGCATGAGAGATCAGCCTGGTCCCCTAAATTATTGTACTCTACGCCGCGAGAGCGGTAAGAACTTAGTAATGATTAGCTAGGCTCAATTAAATTAAATTCATGTAATTAGGCCTGATCTGCCAGAAATCTGGTTACCCCGGAATCAATCCATGTTCCCTTCGTCGTTAATTGAGAAGAAACCACTTTTATTTTAATCGTTCATTCGCATTAGTTTAATTTTTATTCAACCAACCAATCTCGCACGACGCATTTATTTTATTTTATTTTCTAATCGCTGAATTTAATTAATTCTTGATTCCCTTTTGTCCGTCCCTGTGGAGACGATCTTTTTTAAGTGCGAGAAAACACACATCAGGAGACCAACTCATGGGCACTCAAAGTAGAGTCAAAGACCCCCCCCCCCCCCTCCAATCTTGAGGTAGAGGTAATAAACCTCAATATAACCATCCCCCACCCCGCGCCTATCTAACAGCGCTGATACTACCTCACGACATCTCCACATTTAGGGGGGTGGCTACGATTTCACCCCCAGCTCCATGGTCAAGTCATCAACGATGACAACATCATCACCATGATGCGCCTAGTCTACATATATCAATCACAGCAGTGGTCGACCCCTTGACATTCCTCGTCTTCTTCAAGGGATTAGTGGGCTTCATAGTTCATACCAACCTTTGTAAGTGTGTTATCGTCCTCAATCGTAGTTGGCCTCTTCTTTTTGGTCGGGGTGGCTTTTTAGCACCTTCCCCGCTCTTGTTGAAAGTGTTGAGCGACGACTGCTTGGCCGATGGATCTCACCCTGCACTGACCTCAACTTGACATCAACTTTCTTCTCGGCTTGGGTCATGAATGAGAGATGACTCATCTCGAACTCCAAAAAGGACGAAACGGTTAGCAAAGATAAAACAATGTACAAAAGGCTAAGAGTTCAAGATGGGGTGCCACCTTTGGCCGCGACGGAAACCCCGTGTAAAGGACCATCAGCCGTTTCATAGGAAATATCCATCCTCAGATAGAACCCATCATCCACACCGCCAAGGATATAATACCGGACATAGCCGAGGGATGCCGTCTTGTACTCGGTGATATAATATTTCACATTTCCTGGCCCCTATCTAGAAACAGGCGTATCTGCTCCTCAGTCTCCTCATTTGTCAAGTTTGAATGACGATTAAAACCCCGGAATGGCCGACAAGAAAATTGCACGGCATCACCAAGGGTCACGAATACAAATTTGGCCTTCCAACCGTGGATACTGGATAGACGTGGGTAAGTCCGTAAAAGATCTATTCCCTCTCATCTGCTAGAGATTAGCGAACCAACACAATTCTCGTGGCCTCCTCGACCAATCTTGTAGAGGTTCATGAACAGGCCCAAGGTCAGCGTAGGGTTGTAAACGAATCAAATAATTTATGCTCGATTCGGGATTCGAATTCGTATAAGAGGGATCAAAATGCTGATTTTGATTCAAAATGTTATCAAATACTTTTTTTTTTATCAAATACAAATACAAATATCAATTTATCTGATTCAAATGTTAATCAAATATATTCGATTAATAATAGTGACGTGATAATATTAATAATTAAGAATAATAATAGTAATAGTAGTAATAGTAGTAATAATACTATAATAACTTTTAAGAGCTAGCTATGACCTCAAAGTGAAACCCATATATACATTTACGTATACACATTTCCAAGTCAATTTGTAATAAATCAGAAGTATCATAGGCAATAAGGGTCGTAAACGAAAACAAATAGTTTTAATTCGATTCGTAAATTGGATTCATAAGTTATCATTTAAATTTGAAAATATAGAAAATAAATATGAATACAAATATGATGTTTGGTTCAAACATCTTTCATAAAATTGATTCACTTTAGTATACTGTGCACAACCTTAAAACGCATCAATCCATTAAATTTTAACGAAATATGAAATGTCACAAATTAAATTCTAAAAACGCATATTAAGTCATAACACTCATAGGAAAAATTGTTTTAAAGTTATATTTCACTAATATTTAACTTATGATCAAATTGATTCGATATTCATGCATGATTCGTTAACTATTCGTATTGTTAAACAAATACGAATACAAATCGAAATTAATATTGGTTCCATATTTGTATTTGAATTCGTATTCGAAAAAATTAAACAAATACAAAACCACACTATTCGACTCGATTGGGTTCGTTTACAACCCTACGTGATCCCCAACTCGTCACGGTGAATTAGAATGCCAGCCATTAACGTATAGCTGTTTGACAAAACTCATGGGATATATGCCAAAGTACCCTAGAGGCGGGGACAGTACATTGTCCGTCAGCATGGGTGCCTAACTCTACCATATGGGCCGACGTACTATACATTTGATCAAGATGTCACTCATTCGGCGTACTCTCAGGGCGGATTGTGAGGAGGTTCTTGAGATCTAGTCGCAAGAGCCCTATAGCCAAAACCTAGCGCCGACGTGACCCTCATCCTAGTTTAGGAACTCCTGACTCCCCTCTACGGACGAATGAAGCCCCCTCATTTTCACAAGGAGGGTCCGATTCCTCCCCTCCCCCCGCCTCACTAGAGGGAGCCGAGTTACCCTCGATCCCCAATCCTTCCAGGTCGTCTTCTTTCGGTAATCACCAGTGTTCTCCATCTCAGTGTTGAATTCCTCCACCACTTTAAGCAGCATCGTCGGCTTGGGAGATGTGTCATCCTCGTCAAAAGGAAAGAACTCCTTGTCCAAAGATTTTGGAACAATAAGGGACCCGGGGACGTTTCACGTGTCAGGGGACAACGTGACTAAACAAACACACGCCCAAGGGAAGGCTTTGGATCAAAGTGTTTTTTCTTAAGAAACACTGGATATAACCCCCTGAAGCAAGGTATAAAGAAAATACGAAGAACAAATGATGAACCGACCTTTGAAGATTTGAAGGATCGAAGAACGCTTTACTTCTTTAGAATTCAGCAGCACTTCGTGATCTCTCAATGGCAAATTAAGTGTAGAATCATGTCTCGGAGGTGGAGTATTTATAAGGGTCCTCTCCAATGGACACTTCACATGTCACATACCCAGTGGTCAGCCTGACTCATAGCCAATCAACGGAAGCCGCGTGCTCCCCATACCACACCATCAACACGCAAGAGTCATGTGTCTCACCGCTGCACAAATAAGGTACAATGGCCACAAGACTCGTGGAGTTACCATCGACCACGTGCCCAGGACATGTATGACATCATCGCCCAAGTTCTCACAGCCTACGTCTTTCACTAAAAATTTTCACACTTCGGTCCTAATCGTTTAAACACAGACTTCCCCGGCCAAAATAAAATGAGGGGTGATCGTAAAGTCAAGCGCTCCTTGGACAAAACCCATTTGTGATAACCTTCGGCCTGTGACCTTCGTCCAAGGATTCTACCATAGGGTTGCCTTGGTCACGGCTCACCAAAAGCCAATAAAAACCGCATCTGCATAGGAAAGAAACAACTACAAAACATGACACCTCGGCCATAGGAGCCAAATCGCATCTTGACCTAAAAGAGCCACAATGGCCAGAAGACTCAGTGCCACATAGGCCAAAAACTCAAAAGGCCAACGAAGGAGCACAAGAATATTTTACTCCCTTTCACCTTGACACCTCTCGACTCAGAGAGTGGGGAACTTCTGATAGAGTATATGGGCCTGAACCCCACGACTCACACACTCATAGAAGACAAAAATAACACTAACATAATCCTCGGTTGGTCCTATCGGATAGACGAGCCCACTTCTACAAAAGAAGCTCAAAAACCAAAGAATCAAAGAAATGGAAGAAGAATGGTCATCTTGATATGACACCCTCGGCTAGGCTCCCTCAATCAGACCTTTGACAGACAACTTTTACTTTGTACTTAGCTCAATGAATTCATGTAATCAGCCCATTAGGGATCCATTGTTCGGCCTCAATATCCCTTTACTTTTTTTTCCCACAAAAGTAAAAATTGGAAATGACGCTTCTTGCCTTCTTGGTATGGTTTATGGAGGAAGTAACAGTATAACACATCTTGTGGCGACTACCCGATCCACACTGTATCTAACCATATATCTGTAACGACTGTAAGCTAGCGTTTCCCAATGAATTATCAGTTCAGCTTCGTTCAGTAGAAATGTCCTATGACCCATATGATCGTTGATGATTTGCACCATAACATTTAAAGAGAATTTATTTATCAATAAAAATAGCAAGACTGCAATGATTTTATAATTTCTAATCCGTAGTCCCAGATCCAATCATACTTCCGCCTTTCCATTTTATCCGAATTCATCCGAGAAAGAACAGATTGCGTTATCGAGAAAGAAATCCACATTTCCCTTTTCGGATTGGGATTGATTGATTGATACAGAAACCGTAGACGCAGACGATGTCCAGAATATGGAGGTTGAACAAGTCACGAAACACGCCCCTTCTAACCGTGGTTTCAGGTAGAAGGACGGTGGCGACGGTCACGACAACTAGTTCCTCTTCCAACTACACCATTTCTCATGAACGGGGACTGTTGAACTGCTTCAAGCGCCGTGGACCACTTATTGGAGTGCAGGAGAGATACAAGTGGGGCAGCGCCGGTTCCTTTTCTGAGCCAACCAGGCGGATCAGGGCGGAGGCTGGTTGCTCGCGCTGCTCTAATTTCGCCGATCTCATATCCACCAAGCGCAATCCACTCCTCGTTTCTGACTCTCTTACTGGCGTTGTAGCTGATAACGATGGCACTGATTCGAAAATTGAAGGTTCTAATCCTGCACCAAATATCTGCCCGAAGTGTAAGACTGCCTACACCATGTCTCCCATTCAAGGAAGCTTCATTGAGATTGAGAGGGTCAATGAAAATGGCAGGGGCAAGAGTTCCGGAGACAAGATGGCTACTGTTGAATTCAACGGAAAGGCTCACAGGAGTCACAAGTCATTTTTCTGGGGGGCTCTGAAGTCTTACAGCGGTGAACCTCCTGAGAATTGGCCCCCAAACTCTCCACAGCCGCCTGAAAATGGGGTTGCTGTGCGTACACCTCCCGGCCCACCATTTGCTCCTGGTATGAATATCATTAGAGCATCTGCTTCTGGAGGAAATGATGAGAAAAATGAGTGGGGTGGGTCTAATTTAGGCAAAGATTTACCCACCCCGAAGGAGATCTGTAGGTGGCTTGATAAATTTGTCATTGGCCAAGAGCGTGCCAAGAAGGTCATTTCTTTATTCTTTTGAATTTTGATCATTATTTGTCTTGCAAAAAAATTATTCAAGGCTTACAACTTAAACTTGTAATAATCAACTCAAACATGTCATTATGCAAGTTCTTATTAATACTTGTCGAGTAAAGTTGGAAACTTCCTGCTTTTAAGTAATGTATGTATGCTATTCCTGATTTTAGCAAGAAACGTGTTGTATTCTTTCTCTACGAATTAGATGAGGGTAATGCGTATGAGCGTATCAAACATTGAACCAAATGTGTAATATTTTTTTTCTATTTATTCTGATCTTGTAGTATTTCCCGCATAGATTTTATCCTGCCACTGTGATATTATATGGGAGATGAAGGTTAAGAAACCGAGAAACCATTGATTCTTATATTGCTTCTGTTCAGTTATTGAAGCCTTCCTTTTCACTCATTTAATTTAATATTCTTCTTTCATGCAATTGAAGGTGCTCTCGGTGGCCGTTTATAACCACTACAAAAGGATCTACCATGCTTCTTTGCAAAAGGGGTCAGTGACCAACCGCTTTGTAATTATTGCTTGTTTGATGTTTGATGCATACTAGACTGTCAGCATTCTCCATTTACCATTTTTCTTAATCAATTTACATATATGGAGTATGAAGTGCTCTTAGTAGGAGCTCTTTCATATTTAAAAGTTGAGATGTTTCTTTTTATACTATTGCGCATAAAAATTACGGAGAATTTCATTGCTTGGATACTAGATCAGGGACAGAGACAGTAGGGGAAGATAGTGATGACAGTGTAGAATTGGAAAAAAGCAACGTGTTACTAATGGGCCCAACTGGCTCAGGTGTGCGTATTAATTTGTTACTGCAGCATGTTTTTTCTTTTTTACTTCACAATATTTTTACACTACTGTTTAATACCCTGAGAATATTTAATACTTTGACAAGCGATGTCCACCGTTATGGCTTGCTATCAGGAAACAAATCCCTCAATGTGGACTTCCTTTCTGATTGGTTTTTTCCTAACAGGAAAGACACTACTTGCTAAAACTCTAGCTCGGTTTGTGAATGTGCCTCTTGTTATTGCTGATGCAACAACTTTAACACAGGCAAGTGCTACTGTGCTTTATTGTTATCTGCATTTCCTATGGGGATGAAGTAATATGAGGCCCATTTGGCTTGTTTTTTCTGACATTTGTTTATGTACTTTCACATGTTTGAATGAGGAAAATAAAATAATCCCAGTTTCTAGCTGTACTTTGCCTCCCTTATGATTTTAATTATGGTAGTGTGGTGTCCTTTCAAGTAATTGTATCATCATTCTCATAAAAATTAGAAATAGGCCATGCCCTTATCTAACATCCCTGTGTCTTATTATAAGGATTACACTTTGAGTGAAGTATATATGAATCTTATGGTGCACATTTTTTGTTGTTGTGTTGGGCGATTTTTATAGCTCCTATTTCTTTTTTGTTGCTTCATGCTGTACTAAATTCTAATTGAAAGCCCATAACCTTTTGCAGGCTGGTTATGTTGGTGAAGATGTCGAATCAATATTATACAAATTGCTTACGGTAATAATATCCTGACTGTTTTTTATGTTTAATACACTTAGAGCATCTCCAATGGTAAAATGTGCACGGTGCACACGTGGCATGAGAAATAGCCACATAAATATTAGTAAATAAATTCTTTATCTCCTTATTTGAATGATTTTATACAGTTTTGGTAAGTTTTTCTCCACACTGTCAGAGAGACTGTCTAGATGTTGACATTGGTGTTGACATTGCAGGGAAAACTTACCAAAATTGTATAAAAACATTCAAATAAGGAGAGAAATAATTTATTTGTTAATATTTATGTGGCTATCACTCATGCCACATGTGCACCGTGGACATTATAGCATTGGAGATGCTCTTAGCTGTTAAGACTTTACTTGTTTAGAAGGAATTTTAGCAATTTATACATGTAAGTACTTCTCGGATTTATCTTGGCTATAGTGATTAGTGAGGGAGATATTGAGATATTCATGAGTCATGAAACATCAATCGTGAATCTACTTTGTGCGTGTCATCCTTGCGCAGGGGCCATGCTAATCTTCTCTGAATCGTGAATATACTCTTCTTTAAAATCCATATTATATTGTTTTTCGTTTCAGCATTTGATGATCTTTTGAAGGCTATTCCAAGTAAAAGAAGTCCATTAACCATCTATTATAAAAATACAGCCTTTGCTCTGGATGTGTCTGATGGGGCTGATATTCACTTAATTTCCTATAGGCTTTGAACAATTAGATGACTAGTTAATTGGTGCATGGCTACATTTAGGGTTAATGTTGAATCCCACAAAATGTTTCTAAACACCACATATTCATTCACTTTTCTTTTCACCCCTATGCTTTAGGAGTATTCAAATACAACCTCTTCCGCCCTATAGCATGCATTTATGGAGCACCACATTTTATCTTTAAGCAATCAAAGCGACCTTGCATTCCTCACTTTTTTCTGTTTCACATTGGTGTTATTTAGAAAACATGAATTTGAACTCTCATTATTCTTTACCAAAGTGATTTACCGACTATCCTTACTTGCACTATCTTTATAAGCAACAGTATTAAGTATAGTATATGCATAAGTTATATGATTGCTGTTTTGTGGATGGCAAACTATTTAATACTTGTTTTGCTTTTTGGCCACTGCATATATTTGTAGTCTCAACTCTCAAGAACTTGTCCTTTCTTTTTGAACCTTTTCTTATCTGCTCTTAGCGCTTTGACTCTTCCTTATAAGTGGACCAAATGTTTGAGCTTTCAAATCTTGCATGAAGGTTGCTGATTTCAATGTAGAAGCAGCACAACAAGGGATAATTTACATTGATGAAGTTGATAAGATAACTAAGAAGGTACTCCCCACCTTTACACCATAACTCATCATATTAAAAAATGATATACTATCTGATGTACCTCTATTCATATCCTTTTATTCTTTTAAATTGAAGGCAGAGAGTCTGAATATTAGCCGAGATGTCTCCGGTGAAGGAGTTCAGCAGGCATTGCTGAAAATGCTTGAAGGAACTGTAAGTACTAGTCCCTTTGTTAACTACCTGCTTTTCATTATTCAATGTCCAGTAGGATCTACTTTTGTCAATCATGAATTTAAAGAAATGTAATAATGAAGTTCAGTTTGCGATGCAGTTTCATTTCCTGTGCTTGAATATGCCCTTAAGTTTTACACATGCTTAAGTAAAGGTGACGTTTTTGTGTTTTAAGTAGCACGAGTGTGTAAGTATAAAAGATGTCATAATAATCTCAAGACTTGTATAAAAAGTAAAGAGAAGACTACTGCACTGTCGAAAAACAATTCTATTAGGGGTCAGTACACAAAGTATTAAAATCATTTATTCAAATCCTTCCCTGTTTATAAATTTTTAAGTTTTTAAGTTAATTGCCTTCGTGGTAACTTCATTGATATTCGCTACCAGATAAAAAGCCTGTTCAGGAAGACCATCTAATTCGCCAGCAAGGATTAAATAACATTACTGCTAAAGTCTTTAACATGGAGTCCAGCAAGTCACCAACTCATCTTCAGTACTATATAAGTATATAGACCTTGCATCATAAAGCAAAACTGGGATAGCTAAAGTCTTATTACAGTGTACTACTCTAGAACAATAGGTTTGCACATTTATGAGCGAAAGAAAAAAGGGTCGGAGCAAGTTGTGAATACGCCCAGGGGGACAGAGGAACGGCAGCTCAAAGAACAGAGACAAATGAAGAATTGTTGGTGGAAGAACTGAAGGAGACCATTCACCCGTTAGCCGCAGATCATACCGTTGATTTTTTGACTTTTTGCAAGAGGGGGGAGCTCTGTTCGGAAATTAGGACTTTTTATACGAGATACAAAGAATGAAAGAAGTACTAATACTAGCTCTAGATCTAAATAATCCCAGGTTCGGATTTTCTAATCTTAGCTGTAACCAGTAATTAAGGCCAAAGTTACTGAAACATTAGTTATCATGTAACACGTTTCCCATACAACAACATCCAAGCCTTAGTCCCAAGTTCCCAACATGTTCCCCATGTTTATAAAAATTAAACAATCACCCCGGAAATGGATTTTTTTACATGTTTTGGTGTATGAAAACGTTCCAGTGTCACCAAAATGCCAAAAGTAAGCATTTCCGTGTTTCTTAGTTTGTGACTTTGTGTGTCTATTGTCTAATTGTTTATCCACAAGTCCTGGAGATATCATTCCCTTTGTTGATTTACATTATAAGGGACATCATATATGCTCATTTTTTACTCCTCCCGTTACAATTTTTACATTTTAACAGTCACATTTTGACTTTTATAAGTCAAACTTAATTCAGTTTGACCATTGATTTTAATTAATTATAGCATTTTTATACGAAAATACCAGTGTTTTATTATATATTTCGAAAATTAAATTATTATAATTTGTATTGATATCATTATAGCACAGTTATTAAGAAAAGTAGAATTGTGTGATTAGTATTGAATTGATAGTGTGAATAAAGTAAGAGTGAATTGCAACCACCCAAATATTACCAAATAAAGTATGAGACTAACTTAGTGGGACAGGCGAAAAAGGTAAAATGGTACAAAGATAGGGGGACGGAGGGAGTAATAACTATCAAAGATGAACATCAAAGACTTTGAAAATTCAATCTAGGACTAGTAAATTAGGACAGAGGGAGTAAATTCTATTTATATATTTATTTAAACTTTCATGGTGTAAAATTTTGCTTCCCTGTTTGTGTATTAATGCATTATTTATAACAAGTTGGTGATGATATGAAGAGTTAAGTTCAAATGACTATTTTTAATGCAGATTGTGAATGTTCCTGAAAAGGGGGCAAGGAAACATCCCCGTGGTGAACATATTCAGGTAAAGACGCAAAGTTGCCCTAAATTGTCTCTCTTTTTCAAATCAACACCTTCCTTTAAACTTTTAGTATCTTTTAGTTAGCTGTGCTCAGAAGCCTCAGATTGAGATGGTTATTCCTCTTGGCGTTCATCTGAAGCATATGGTGTTTTTCATTTGATACAAAAAATTAATGGTTCAGGCAATAGGCTGCCGGCAATCTTCTCTAATAAGGCTCTAAGATAACAATTACATTTGTCAACCGATATGCTAATTCAGCTTGGACTAAATTTAGTTCTAGTCAAGCACGGTTTTTTTTAACTTTCATTATTGTTTTTTTATATATATGTTTGAAATGCAATTGCTATTCCACAGATAGATACAAAAGACATCCTTTTTATATGTGGTGGAGCATTCATTGATTTGGAGAAAACCATTTCAGAGAGGTAATTTTTATCTTCATCATCCTTGCCTATCAGTTCCTTGCAAAACTGTTTTTTTGTTTTTTGATATCTGAGGGTTCTGATTTAGCTTTTGAATTGTATCTGGCAGAAGGAAGGATTCTTCAATTGGTTTTGGTGCTCCAGTACGGGCCAACATGAGAACAGGAGTAACTAATGCTGCTGTAGCATCTACTTTGCTGGAGTCTGTAAGAACAAAGACCTGCTATGTTTGGAAACAAGAAAATATGAATCTAAACTATAAACAACCTTGGAGCACATCTAAGCTCTGCATGTAATCCTGAGTAACACGAACTTCCCTAATTTCAGGTTGAGAGCAGTGACCTAATTGCATATGGCCTCATACCAGAGTTTATTGGACGGTTCCCTATCTTAGTTAGTTTGTCAGCACTAACTGAGGACCAACTTGTTCAGGTAAAAAAATCTTGCTTTGGCTGATCTCACTTAGACCAACTTGTCCCTGTATACTGCCCTTTTTTTGCTCTCTATCCATGCAGCGTGGAGAGTGGGAGCACTGTTAATTTTTGTTTTCCATTTATTCACCTCAACTGTTCTTCATCATTTTTAGTTTTCCAGGGAACTTTTGTCTCAAAAGAATAAATAGGGAACTTCATCATGTATTCACCTCAACTGTTCTTCATCATTAATAGTCTCTCTTATTTTTCTCTCTTACCAAACAATGCATAAAATATACTTTCAAACCTTTCTCTCTCTTACACTCTTCAACTCTCTCTTTCTGCTCTATCTTCTTGTTAACCAAACAAAGGATAACTGTTTGTCTATTATTAATTAAGTGCACATCAAAATGATCATAAACATTTGTTTTCAAAAACCTAAAGATTGAAAGTCAGTTACCATGTGTTGTTACTTTTTTTGCAATAGCTAGTGAGATCTCTCTCACATACACACATAATGCATACTCTCACTGTCCCTCAATATGAGCTTAAGAGAACCAGACTTTTCCTTTGACTTCCAAGTCTTCCATAACCATTCTTTGTACTGAGGAAATATTACTGGCTTACTGCTGAGTGTATTGTTTGTCTGTTTTGACACTATTTGACATTTCACTATTATTTGGCGGTACTAGAGTAAGTTGATGAGATTCTCTTTACCAATTTTGGAAAGATGACTTTATTTAGGGTCTTCCCAAAAAGAATGCATGAACTTTAAATAGAGAAGGAAGGAGTATATTTTTATTACATATATTCAAAGTACATGCATAAGTGGGACTGTGGGACAGTGGGACAGTGAGAGTAGTACCTATTGAATATAAGATGCTCGAGTTTCAGTTGAGGTGATTTGGTCATGTGTGTGTAGAAGACTAAGTGATGCACTTGTTAGATGGACTGAAAGTTGGGTAGCAGAGGGAGGGAGAGAGGATAAGGAGGGGGCGACCTAGACAAAGGTGGAATATAGTCATCAAGAATGACATAATACTACTTGGGTTAGATGAGAACATGACTTTGGAGAGGACGAAGTGGAGAAGGAACATAGTGTGCAAGAAAGATCATTTGTTTGTCTCCCTCTTTCTATATATATTTGTAACTCCGATATCATATGTCGATTTGTTAGCTGACCCCATACTCTTTTGGGATTAAGGCTCTCATATGTTGTTGTATATGTTTATGTACGATATGATGATGGATTTTGTAATGCTAAAGGAGTTCATAAAAACTTATGGATGGGACTGCCAAAAGTAGTTCGTAAGTCCTAGCGTCTATCTTAGGCAAAATTGAATCAATTAAATGATCTTACAGTTTGAATGTCTAGATAATACCAATAAGCGAATGAATCTGAACTGCTTAAATGATCTAACTGTTGAAACTGTTGGCGTGTAACTTACTGGACATGAAGATAAAACTACACTTTCTATTTCAGTTTGCATGTGGTATGATAATAATGTTTGAGAAAATTATCTGTTATCACTTATCAAATACCATCAATCCCACGCGTTATGTTGTATCCCAAACATGGCGAGAAGCATAATAATAGATGAAAAGGTATTTTGTAATCTTTTTTTCTTCTTGCTATGTACTGTTCACTTTCTTTTCTTGCTTCTTGTCCTTGCATGAACTTTATTCGCTCTCTTCTTAGTACAGTGATAGCAGAGATAACAATGAAGTTTCTTACAGGTCCTCACTGAACCCAATAATGCTCTATGTAAGCAGTACAAAAAATTATTCAGCATGAACAAGGCAAGTAATGGCAACCCACAGATCTTCTGTGTGCAAATATGTGCCTCACAAATCTAATTGTGTAGGACTGATTGCACATCATTTATTCATTGCCCTCCCGCTCTCCTCCCCCCACAAAAAAAAATAGGAAAAAGAATTGCATGAAAAAGAACCCCTCTTGACTAAGTTTCATTTGCTGTTTTAGTTCAGCGTTTGTAGTTAACACATGAATTCTTATCTATAGGTCAAGCTACACTTTACAGATGAGGCATTAAGATCTATTGCACAGAAAGCTATGATTAAAAACACTGGTGCTAGGGGGCTAAGAGCCATTCTTGAAAGTATATTGACTGATGCTATGTATGAGGTATACTGGCTTCAGGAGTGTACATGAAAACAACCAATGTGGGCAGTTTTCTACCATTAAAAAAATTCTCATAATTATTATTGAATTTCACATGTGTGTAGATTCCTGATGCTCCCGAGGAAGGAGGCCAGAAAGTAGATGCTGTTTTGGTTGATGAAGATGCAGTAGGTTCTGCAACTGCTCCTGGACGTGGTGGTCAATTACTACGCGGAAGTGGTGCTTTGGAAGCTTACCTTGCTAATGCTCGGTTTAAAGATCAAATGGTAAATTTTGCATTGGCATAATATGCACTGGCTGTCTTTTTATTTATAAAAATAAAATGAAAATCTGAAGTTACTTTTTAGCATTCTGACCATTGGATGAATATAATTAACCTACAGGAGGAAACAGTGGAAGGGGAGATGCAGGACAGGGATGCAGAAGCATCTTCCAGAGCAATGAGCATGTAAAATCAGCATGATCAATACATCACAAATGTGTATAAATTCCCTCAAATGTTGTAAATTTATCATTGTTAATGGTTAGTATATTGGTCCCCTTGCAATCAACAGTGTATGAGGGTTATAGTCACCACAGAAGATAATAATAAGAACAATAGGACTGACTGACTGAGTGGTGGGGACTGGGGAGGGCAATGTAATCTTATAACATTCTAATTTTATTCAATAGCTGTAAAGATTCTTTGGCAATAAGGGAACGTAGAATTGTATGATAAGCCTCACATTTTTATGTTTTTATTTTTGTGTTTCTTGACAAGTGACAGACTAATTCATTTTCTCCACTATTTCTCCAAAGTCCAACCCCTTATTTTGTTCGAGGGGGTTTGAAGGGGATGAAAAGGGGAATTATTTATTTTTACTCTGCGTAAGCCTATCAGCCTATGTGATCAACAATTCATCACTAAGACGTGTCTACAGTCTCCTGAAGAACATACAGTTTTTTAAAATGTGGGAAACTGCGCTCTGGTTCAATTAGCATTTGATTTTGTAATCGCAAAACTAGCGTATCGGAATTGGTTGGCCAGGGAACAACTGATCATCGTTCCATTTCGGCCTTTCGGGTCTTCGGGGCCAATCTGTATGACTGTATCCGACTATCTGTTATAGAATGGGTCCTCAAATTGGGATGTTGTTCGTATCTGTCACTAGAGCAGAAAGGAACCACAAGCCCACAAATGTATAGCAGTACAGGTAAAAATATAGGGAAAACTATCAAATAGATCCTCATACTATGTTCAAATAGTCAATTAGGTCCTCCTACTTAAAAACCAATCAATTGAATCCTCCAACTTTGAAAATACCCTCAATTTCACCATTTAGGCAGTAATCAATAAGTTTCTCCGGTCACATGGTTATGTGGCTATCCAACATGTCAATTTTTTCCAAATGCTAGGTCCCAGCTGTCGGGTATGCCACCGCCCATTGCTATCTCCCCTAATACTCCTAATAGGGTACCAGCCGTATAGTATCTCCCTCCACCTTTTCTGATTAGAGCAGCGGCCATCTCCTTCAATTAAAGGACTGACACTGGTTACACCATTGTCATCTTTCTCAATCAGAGCACTCGACATCTCCCTCAATTCGAGCAGCCGTCGTTTCTTTGGGACCGGTCACGCCATCTCCATCTCGGCCAGATCTAACTGGAAGAGAGTTAGAGAACATCTTCGATTTCACAGAGAAATTCAATGAACAAGAAGGCAAACTGATTTGTTAATTGAAATGATATTTTATACATATATTATGTGGGATTTGGGAAACAAACGTATCTTAAAACATATAAAATCTAATAAAATATTGTGATTTAATTGATTGCTAGGGCAAGAGAAAAGAGGAAAATTAAAATAAGGCAAAGTAATCTTCTTTTCAAGATCTGTGGAGCTGAAAATCCATGAAATTCATCTCTGTGCAACTAATATTGGGATGTTGGCATAGCTCCGTATCATCTTGGCTGGACTTGGAGGAAGAATTGGAAGAAGAGGAGAGCAGTTTCACGAGAACAGAGCACCGTTCGTGAGGAAGATGATGTAAGCTGAGGTGTAAAAAAAAATAGAAATAGAAAACACCACGTAGACAGCCAAATATGCAATTAACCGGAAGACCGGTTGTGTACCGGTTAAGATGCTCAATTGATTATTTTTTCAAAGTTTGAGGATTCAATTGATTGATTTTAAAGTAGGAGGATCTAATTGACTTTTTGAACATAGTACGAGGACTTATTTGTCAGTTTTCCCAAAAATATAATAAGTGAAAGGACGAAGTGAATAAGATGGATCCAAATAGAAGAAGTGGTCATCTATAGACTATGGTACCATAGAGCTCCAGACTAGGGATGGACTGGGCCGGGCCGAACCGGCCCGGAACCGGACCGGCCCGCTACTGTGCGGGCCCGGACCGGACCGGGCCCGGTTGGCCGGTTCCGGGCTTTTAGCCCGTTTTGGCGGGTCGGGCGGGCCGGTTCCGGGCCCTGTTTTTGTTGAACCGGCCCGGGCGGTTCGGGCCGGGCCCGGTTCATTTTTTTTTTTTTTTTTTTTGGTTTTTTCAATTTTTTTTCTTTTCCTAGGGTAGGGCTGGGTGTTTTAGGGAGGTTTGGGGCGTGGGGGTGAGGGGGGGGGGGGTAGGGAGATAACAAGAAAGTCAAAAAAAAAAAAAAAAAAAAAAAAACATTGAACCGGGCCCGGCCCGGCCCGGCCCGGTTAGGCCCGGACCCGGTATCAACCCGGGCCGGTTCCGGGCCCATGTAACCCGAAAAAAAGCCCGCCCGGGCCCGGCCCGGAACCGGAACCGGCCCGGCCCGGGTCCATCCCTACTCCAGACGTAGGCGATGGTCTAATATCGTACAAGAGTATGAGACATTGAGAGTTGAGACGTAGGTGAACTATCCAAACATATTTGTAAGGTCTCATTATATTAGGGGCGTAGCTCATCTGGTAAGAAGGGATGCCATAGGCTCACAAGGAGAGGTCTCAGGTTCAACTTCAAGCAATGACTTGGGATAAAACCCTATTCTTTTCATCAAAGTGAAATCAAAGGTCAATTACATACTCCCAGATAACTGTCCAATCAGTACTCAGGGGTCCTCAGGATTCAGGAATGAGGTGTCATCTTTATGGTCTCGATATTTGTGAATAAAAGGATGCATTGAAGTTCGATTTGACAACCAAAGAAACCACATAGAAGGGAGAGTGTGAGGACTTGCAAAGACTTCAGAGTTTCAGATAAGATTTCACGAGAAAAAATTCATCAAGAAATGTGGTCATAGTAACCAGATGTTCAAATTCTTTGTAGTCATACCTAAAAGAATAAAAAAATGCTTAAGGTACACAAAATTCACATCATATAAAAGCAAAAAACATCCCATTTCACCCCCTCCCCCTTCTCTCTCCTTTCTCTCTTCCGCTTCTCTCACTTCTCTCTTTCCTCTTTACCCAGTCCCTTCCGAAAATTCTCAAAGAAAAATGGGATGATCATTTTCTCTTCTTCATCTTCCTCTTCCCTTATTCATCCTCTTTTCTCTACCTTTTTATATCAAATTCTTTCCATTATTTGCACAAAATTAGTTTATTTATCTTATTTCACATATTTTTATTATTTATATATATATTTTTTCAAATTACATGTAAATCGATCACACATACAACTACATCATTATTTTGGATGTATATAGACAATTAAATTTTGTGTTCACCCAAACCATTAAAATTGATCACACCGACAACTAAAGTTGATCACACACACAACTATTATCTGTGAGCCGCACGATTATTGTCTGTGTGGTAAATATTGTTTTTGCACACAAACAAATAATTGTTTGTGCAACAGGAAAATATTGTCGTGCACACAGGCACTGCACAAATATAGATTGATTTGCAAGCTGGTGTCAGTGTCAGACGACTGTCAGTGTATTTTTTACATGAAAATTAATGTATGTGGACACAAGCAAAAGTTGTTTGTGTACACAGACAACTCTTGTCTGTGCACATGCAACTTCGTACGAAATGTCTGTGACCTACATTTTATGTACACATTGTGTATAACTTGTGTATCGGGAAAGACAATAATGATTTTCAGTAATAATCATAATCAATGAAACATAACAATCTCAACAATTTTTCGTGTACACATTTTTAGAGTAAAGGGCCAGTTTGGTCTTCGAAGTTGCATAAAAGGGGTCAAATAAGTCCTTATATAGGAGGTTCTATCCGTCCGTCGCCATTTGGGGCGGTTCCCGGTGAAACTTTTTGATGAAAATTTTTGAGCATCTTATTCATTAAGTCTAGTTCACTCATACCAAATTTCATATAAAAGTTCAATCAGAAAGCCATCCAAATGAATTCTTGAAGATAACTGTGTAGTTAAAAGCGCAACTATCTTCAAGAATTCATTTGAATGCCTTCCCGATTGAATTTTTAGCTGAAATTTGGTATGAGTAAATTAGACTTACTGAATAAGATGTTCAAAAAATTTTATAAAAAAATCCACCAGGAAACGCCTCAAATGGTACGTTCGGACAGAATCTTCTATATAAGGACTTATTTGATCTCTTTTATGCAACTTCGAGGACCAAACTGACCCTTTACTCCACATTTTTATATACATTTCAAATTCTTCAATCATATATATGTTCTTATTCAATATCACAGACAATACATATTTACCACTTACATAGACTTTCATAAGTGTTCATGTACAAATGTGATTTGCTAATTATATACTTCATCCGTCCTATTTTATTTTGCCAAATTTGGCTTTTCTAGTTAATGATGTTAAACTTTTATCGATTATATATCTATATATCATAATATTGATGATAGGAAAAGAATATGCAAAATATATTTTATTAAACATACTATCATAAAAATATAAATTTATTAGGTTTCACATATATAGGGGAGATGGTGTTTGAATCTGATTCTCTAAACTGATTCTGCTCTTTCATGGAGCAGAAGCAGAAGCTGAAGTGTTTGGGTGAAATTCCAGAAGCACTTCTGAAACTCTAATTTACTCTCAGAATAAGTTTTTTTAGAAGCGGGGTACCAGTTTCTGAAAACTGATTCTGATTCTGATTCTGCTTCTGCTTTTAAAAAAGAAGGAGAAGCAGAATTAGTTCCAAACACCCCATGTTAGTTAAAATAATTATCAAAATTTACCTTCCACTACAAAAGTCAAAGTTAGGAGGTGTTTGGAAGGATTTTTTAAAATAGAATCAGAATCCATCCAACTTTAAAAAAAAGTGATGGGAGGAGTAAATAAAAGTGATATATCTTTGAGCTGATTAAAGCATCTCCTATTCTACTATTACTGTGCCCGCCACTTCCAAAATTTGCTGCCATAGCCCGTAGCCACTCGCCCACTCTAATCCGTTTCGTTGCCACTGACTGAGGTTTTTTCTTCTGTTCCATTATTATTTACAGCATCACTTTAGAGCAGAAAGTTGCCAACGATGAACAAAAAAAATTATTTGATAAAAGAATTCTACCGTTTCTATGAAATGAAGCTTTATACAACATTTAGGATCACTTTTTACTCTACATCTATTCCGCATCTTCTTTGATTAAAGGGATAGTTTTCACAGTTTGCTAAAGTTTGACCTTTTTTTAGAATCAAACGGCTCCGATGAACCATATCTGAGTAGAGTCAGTTATAGGAATTAGGAAATAGGTTAGATAATGGGTTAGGGAATGGTGGTAATAATACATATTTACCCCAATGAAAGTATGATATATTTAATTTATTGGGGTTAAATCTTTACGATTACCACCTGAACCAATGGCTGCCCCATTCCTCACTCTTCAGTTTAATAATTTGCTTGTACTTCTGTTGTTCCTGAAAAAAAATCAGCTCAAGGATAGAGCTTAGTGGTTCTTCAAAAGTGAGTGGAAGTATGGAGATAATTCAAGAAACAGGGAGTCTGGAGAAATACATAGTTGGGTCCGTGCCAACCCTAATCTACATTCCAAACTTCATCTCAGACATTGAAGAAGAGCAGCTTGTCAAGAATGTAATGCATTCCCTAGTCATGTTATTTGGCCTCTTCTTTTAAAATGTATTGGTAACTTTGATTTTTTAGAATGCAAATTTCTTCCTTTTCTCTCTAGATTTATGGAGCTCCTGTTTCCAAATGGAAATCTTTAAAAAACAGGAGGCTGCAAAATTGGGGTATATATGGAGTTTTCTTCATTCCTTTCACTTTCAATCTGTTTTATCAGTATGGGTAAGTTTGGAAGAAATGTTGAACAGTTGCAGTGTAACAGCTATATGGTCATTGCAGGAGGCGTTGTACACGAGAAGGGTCTTATAGCACAAGACTGTACGTCTTGTCTTTTTATTCCTTTCTTCTGTTTCTATGAGATTCATCTATTTTATGATTTAATTCATTTTCAAAAAGATCCATGGATATCTATGCTGTTCTAGCAGAGCTTTATTCTTGGACTGTAGACATGGAATCAGCAGTGGCAGAAAGTTTAATGCTAATAGATTACTGCACTCTATGAGGCCTGCAGTAGTGCAGTAAATAAACATATTGAAATATGATCTCTCTTATTTGAAACAGCTTCCTTTTCTGTGAAATACATGAATACAAAATATACAAAATTAGAAATATAGAGATATGGACTTGTAGGAATATACAACCATAAGTTTTAGCCCTTCCGTTTTAGAATTTTAGGTCAATTATAATCCATCCATCATGATAGCTTTTGAGAAGGGTGATGTACAGTTTTAGAGTATGTATTAATTAGAATGAAGTTCAGGGAATAGTTAGCTCGAGAAGTAACTAGAGACTATAGAATCTCCAAGTCACACAAGATAAGCTTGCACCATTTGTGAATGCAATTGTCTTGAAAATTAAAAGCCAACTAGAGGGTGATAGCAGTTGGTTCGAATCTCGAAAAACATAGTTTATACGTAGTACTTTATAGTGTAGTTTACAAGTTAGGTTTGTGAGTGCCTTTGGGAACTTTTAATAGGGGCTATCGGACTAGGATTCTATAAGTACATGCGTATATTCAAAAATTAAAAGGAAAGGAGATCTCCTCTCTTTTCTAGATAAAAGAAGAGGAATAACATGATAGCCTCATATCTATATTTCATGTTTAGTGAGGTGCACACTATTAGCTGGTACACGGGTAGACGTCCAAGTGCTTGTATTTTGCTGATTTTTGAGCTCCATGTCTAAAGGCTTACAAATGCTAGATCTACACCTAGGTGGCTATGTGTAGAGACTAGAGAGTTCCTCCTCTAGTTCTTTTCTCTCGATATAAATTTTGATAAATTGTTTAGCTTTGATCCCTAAGATTATGTGTTTCAACATTTTTACACGCACTATCTCATCATCACTAAGATGTGACACAAATGAAATGTTTACTGGATTCTTCCTTGCAGTGCCTTCATGGTTAACTAGAATTACTCAGAGGATCCAAGAGGAATCAGGCCTTTTTCCTTCAGCAATTAATCATGTTCTTATCAATGAGTATCTTCCTAACCAAGGAATAATGGTTTGAATCAGTATCCAATTTTCGGATCATTTACTTTTTACTAATCCCTCTGTTCCAAACCATACGATACATTTGTATCTTGCATGAGTTTAAGGAAACAAAGGAGATAGTTGTTATTTGATCATCGTAGTCTTCTAGAAGGAAGAAAAGCAAATAAGCAATATGAGTCAGCAAAAAAGTTAAACGTTAAAATGTTAAAATGATAGAGAATACATAGTGGGAAAATAAAAAAATTAATGGAGTTCAATTTTGGAAATTGTTCATCGTTTTGGGGCAGACAAAAAGGGAAAGTGTACCTAACAAATTGGAATAACGTAGTGTCTTTTATGCATGGATCTATTGTATTGGATATTTTAGACAGAAAATACAATCCATGCTATTCAAGTCTTTTTTTTAACCATTTCACAATTTCTTTATTACGTTCTTAGTTGACCAAAACAATGTCACCATGATATTGAGGTCCTCACTACTAATCAACAGAGTATTAGAGATGTTCTATTTGTTTGTTTTTTGACATAGCAATTTGCATCTTCTCAGCCACACCAGGATGGACCTGCTTATTATCCAGTAGTGGCAATTCTCTCTCTCGGATCACCTGTTCTGATGGATTTTGACCCACATCCAAATCTTAAACGCAACATAGAGTCATCTACCAACATTGTTGATTATAAAATCTGTGAAGGTGGGACCACAAAGATTAATGTCAGTAAAAGAAGCGAAGATGATCACTGTTCCTTTTCCATTTTGCTGATGCCTCGCAGTTTACTCATTTTCAAGGACAAGGCTTATTCAGGTGATTTATTATTCACATGCACTTTATAGTTAGCAACTTTGCATACTGTTCTTCAATTGAGTAATACTCCGTACATTATCTCGTGCCTCTCTACTTAATTTATGTTTTTTTCCAGAATACCTGCACAGTATTAAAGATGATGATGTACAACAGTGTAACGGGGTAAGGATATTTGCACGCAAATGCTCTATTTTACGAAAATTTTGAAAAGAGGAAAGAAATAGAGAATTCTGGTTGCTTGCTTGAATTTCGATGAAAAGCAGGGATCTTCTGATAAATTTATTATTAAATTTGATCTCTTCAGGCTGTGAATGTGACAAGAAACGCGATAGCTAATGGCTCGTTTGGTTCATTATGTAACTCTGGGCAAGTAGTTGATGAAGAGGGAGAAGCGGATGACATTGTTATTCACCGGACTAATACCAGACTCTCTTTGACGTGCCGGGTTGTGACCAAAGTTCAAAAAAATCTGCTCAGGCTTTAGTTAGCTTATAATGTATTTTGCTAGTGAAACCTATTTGGAGGAATATATTAGTTGCTTTTACTAAAATGGTTGCGCACATATGTATTGACTTTATCACTTTTTGTACTTGAATAAAAAAACAGATCTAATTTTGATCAGAGTTGTTTTAATTTGCCAAAGAACAACGTACAGAAAGGGCCAATCCCTCCCCTGCCCACCATGGTGCCATCATGGACTGCTTTCTTTCGTCCGTTGGAATGGGGGTGCTAGTCAGTTATACCTGGTGCAGCTGCAGAGAAATGGTCGCAGGTTTTTTCTTAACATTCTAGCTATTCTTTGAATAAAAGCATTGAAAAGAGCAACAAAAAAACTGGAGAAATTGAACATGCAAAGCAAATTAGAAGTGCTAATAGGAATGAAAGAAAAGCAAAAGTTCCATGATACAAATACACTAACAATTAGACAAAAATGAAGATATACAATATACAACAAAGTATTCCATCTTTTCCGCCCTACACTCTTTTATTATATAAAAACATATTGGTCATGAGGTAAAAGGGGTTTATGATACATCTCGTTTGGACCTAAACAAGGAACTGAAGCAAATTAAATTCCTTTGTTCCTAACCCCTCTTACTCTCCTACTACATACTGTTCAATACCATACAGTATTGTTATTTTCATTAATCCAAGAATTTAAAAGATTTCACAATTACTACGTATAATAACAACAATTTAGATAGAGTAAGGTTTTGGCATGGGCTTGCCCTTCACTGAGCCACAAAGTAGCTGGGTGTCGGGAATGTTGTACTCGTCTCTCAAGGAGCGTGCCGGCGACAAGACACTAAAGTATAGCTGTTGTCCCAAGTAAAATCTCTCCCACATCTCCGACCTGACATTCCACATTCCGGCGTTGTCGAGGGTGGTCATGATGGCGGCCCATGAGTTGGGGTACACTTGGATGGTGTGCCTGCTCACCCCGTCAACAAGATTGTAATTCTTCCTCTTCTCGGGGCTCCACTTCCCGGGCTCAATCCCTACAGCGAAGAACGAGTACCCGCTCACATGGTAGGTCTGGATGGTCCTTTCGTGGTTCTCGAATATGATCTCCACGAAGTTGCGGAATGTGGCATTGACCACGTTGGGAGCCACAGTCACCTTGCTCAGATCCTCTGGTGGGTCATCGCTCATTATGTCGTACTTGAACACGGACTCTGGATTCTCAAAGTACTCCGCCAGCTTCAACGGGGTATCCCCATCCTTGTGGGAGATTCCATTGATCGCAAACCGAAGCTTTCCTCCATCCTCGCTCTTAGTGTTAACAAGCTTCAAGGTTCGGGTGATGTTGATCTGGCCATAGTGATAGGACCCCTGTGGGTTCGGTCTAGCTGCGCTAGCAGTGAGGTTCCACCTTGAAATCAAACAGAAATGAACATTAGTTAGTCATGTTTGTAAACTTTGTCTATATTTTACTCATATTTTGAGAGATTCCTTGCCTGTTAACCCGTACGTACCTGAATGACCTGAACTGGTTAATGGACCAAGCGATGCCCTCGGTGTCCTCGGGAGGAGGAGGTGGCAACTCGGGGGAGGCAGGGACACCTTTTCCGTTAGCGTAGCTGATGACAGCGACGGAGGAGAGCTGTTGCTTAAGGAACCTGCTGGTGACAACAAAGTAGTAGTCCTTGGGCTCCTGATCAGCCGTCACCAAAACGGAGAGGCACTGTCCGGTGTGGAGGTCAAGCGAGTCGTACACGTTCTGCACTGTGTGGGACCCCTCCAACTCCACCAACGTCATCCCGTGTCCTTGGAACCTGAAGTTCATGGAAGCTCTCATTCCTACATTGCACACCCTGAACCTGTATGTCTTTCCAGCCTCCATCGTCGCAATCGGCTCCAGCTTGTCCCCGACTTTCCCGTGCTTGGCATTGATCACCAACCCATTAGGCCGGGCGATGGTCTGACCGTCATCGAGGATCTTCTTCAGCTCCCTGTGACCCTTATTGTACCAGTCACTCAAGAAGACATTGTATTCTTCAGCAGGCCAGTCGAATGGGACGGGGATGAGGTTACGGCTGTGGACGTTGAGAGCGCCATAGCCTCCGGCGGAGCGTAGAAGGCCGGTGGTGGGGAAGTAGAAGTAGCTGCCGATCTGATCCTTCACCTGGAAACGGTAGGTGTAGTTGGTTCCGGGCATGATGGGGCACATGGTTCCCGGAGTCCCGTCTTGCCAGGAGTTCTTCCTCTGCTGGATCCCCGACCAGTGGAACAACAATGGCTCATCGAGCTCATTAAAAACGTTGACGACAATGTTGTTGTTCGATGTACAGTTGATCTTTGGGCCAATCGGTTGACCATTGATTAGGATGACATCTTTTTGGACGCCGAAAGGTGACATCTTGCCATATGTTACCTTCCAGTCGAAGAACAGGTAGGGGTCCTCTGCCTGAACCACCGCCACCGTCCATGCAGAGAGACATAGCAGGAGCACCGCCCCCGTTGATGATAATTTCCTCCTGGTTTCCACCATTATTAATAAAGTTGTTTATTCCCTTTATTTGGGCTTTTTTTGGAGGGGGTGATATTTTTTTGTTTCTGCTGATTATTTCTTCTTCATGAATGAATGATCCTTTTATATCTTGCATGGCTTTTCCTTCTTCCATCCGTCCATAACTTCCACCTCCCATTTCATGTGGTTCAGCATTTCTTCCTCTTGTCCTCTTGTCTTTTAATTTTGCTGTCAGTAACTTTCATCCTTTTTTTTCTCATCATAAATCAATTAAGACTTTTTCAAGTAAAATGAATTCACTGCACATACTCCGTATAATGTTGGTGTTTTTTAATCATTCATCAAACATAATACCCCCAATCACGTTCTCTAAGCTCGAGGATTTCGAATTGTGAAAGAGAGGAAATTAGTAATATGTTTATTACATATGTTTCACAGTTTCAGTGTGAAAGTATTTGTACATTTTCAGACATAATAGTGACTTTCCCGATAGATGTGTCATTTTGCAACATGCTGATTATTAAATTATTTACCCATCTAGTTTTGATCTATTTCCTATTAGTGTAAAATCAATTTTCAACGTTCTTATTTTCTCATAGCATATTTTTAAAACATCATTTTTTAAAACTTAACAACACACACGATTCACTATATTAATGGTCGGACTGGTAATTTGAAAAACAAAATCATTGCAACTAATAATAAATGGAGGGTAGTATTAATTACATGTCATAAATAGCGGAATGTTACATTTAGGTATTAATTAATTACAACCTATCTAGTGTTTTGTGATAATTAAATACATGTCATTAAGATTTAAGAGTGTAATGTTACAAGTATATTTTAATCAGATAACAAATATATGCAATGTATGTATGTGACTGATGTACGTGTGAAATAATGGGAAAGGATTACTCCCTTAGGAGCTCTGACAGGTATATTTATAATAAATACGTAGTATCAGTTTCCAAGATACACAAGGATTCCTAAAATATATCAAATATTACACCCCTCAAACTGTGTGGAAGATACAACGCGCAAGTTGTCTTTTAAAAAATGAAACTACTGTCTAGATAAATCCTTAGTAAAAATATTAGCTAACTGAAGATGAGTAGACACATATTTCACTACTAAATCGCCATGCCCAATTGTCTCTCGAACAAAATGATAGTCGGTTTGAATGTGCTTGCTCTGAGCATGCTGAATAGGATTAACCGTCAAATAGGAGGCAACAATATTATCACATTGTATCGGAATATGAACGGGAAAGCCGAGCTCAAAAAGGACGGACCTCATGTCTAATGTGTCGTGTACTGTATAAACAATGACACGATATTCTGCCTTTGTTGAAGATTTGGACACCGTAGGCTGCTTCTTGGACTTCCATGACACAAGGTTAGAACACTCCAAAACCTATGGTAGATTGAGAGCTATCTAGACAACCCGCCTAATCAGCATCAGAATAGGCCAAAATACATATAGGGCATGCAGATGTTTGTAGCCATAATCCATGATCAATAATGCTCTGTAAACATCGAAAAATACACTTGACAGCAAACATGTGAGTAGTACGATGAGCATGCATAAATTGAGACACTAAATGAACTGCATAAGTAATTACAGGTCGTGTCAAAGTTAAATACTACAATGCACCTACCATATTACGATACTATGTAGCATCAGCTAGGAGTGAGAGAAAGAGTCGGGCGTGTAGCAACATGCGTGCGAACAGACTTGAGAGTGTGTAAATGGAAACAAAGGAGAAGATCAGACACATATTTTTGCTGAGAAAGAAAAATACCTTTAGAATTTTGAACAGCTTGGACCCCCCAAAAATAGTGGAGATCACCCAGATCTTTCATGGCAAAACGAGACGAAATACGTTGAATAAAAGAGGAGACTAGAGAGGGTGAATTACCCGTAATAATAATATCATCAACATATAACAACATGTAAATAATCAACTGACCATGACGATAAATAAATAGAGAATCACCTGACGTATTACATAAAAAATTGTGTGTAAGAATAAAACTTTTAAAACGATGAAACCAAGCTCGCGGGCCCTGCTGAAGCGCATAAACAGCTTTTCGCAGACGACATACATGATGAGCGAACTGTGGACGAACAAAGCCCCATGGATGACGCATATAGACTTCCTTAGGAAGATGACCATGAAGAAAAGCATTTTTTACATCCAACTGACGCATAACCCACCCAAAAGAAATATGAAGTGTAAGAACAACACGAACCGTGGTAGGTTTAAAAACCAGACTAAATGTCTAAGAAAAATCCACTCTAGCTTATTGATTAAAACCCTCACCAATTAAATGAGCTTTATGGTGCTCAACAGACCCATCAGAATGAAATTTAGTTTTATAAATCCATTTAGACCCAATCACATTTTTAGAGCTATCAAACGGAACT